CTCTTGTTTTCACACATCTGAATCCTGACTGATTGTAGGTTTGTGTAAAGGCTTGTGCAGACTACACGACTTTCAGTGTCAGCCATTGGCTGTTCACACAACACAACTTGCCGTAATGTGATGGAAGTCTTGAAGTCATTGTGGCGATCACACTACATGACTGATCGGTGAGGGGGGGGCGTCACACACTATGCAAGTTGACAGCGGCTCTGTCACCTGAAGCAGGTCTCCAAACCACATTTTGTCAAGAAAACACACGTGAAATGTGAAACGGGAAATGACACGAACCTACAGACTGTACAGCTGTTGTTTGTTATTATAAAGATAGCGATTATAAAGACAAAGAAGGGGAGTAAAAAGTTTGTTTTGCAGAAAAGGTAGCTCTGCCAGCTGCCTGCTCTCATTGGCTGGATGTGGATGTCGAGTCGGCCGACTCCGCCAGATATTTGGCATGCTAGATATCTGGCAGATGTCGGCGATGTGTCAGTGATGTATTGGAGCCGTTTTGATGCGTCTTTGTGTAGTTCACACATAACAACCGCCGATCTACTGCTGATTTACGAGCAGCAAATCGGGCTCAAAATCCTGTAGTGTGAACTAGGCCTATTTGCAGAGACATTTACCAAAATATCAAGTTATTAATTATGAAGAATGGTTCCTTTCACAGTGACTTTATTGTTGCATTACCCCTAGCCTTTGAAAACTTTTATACATATTGATATTGTATAGCTGGTGTGAATGTGAAAGAACAAACTTATTCCATGAAAATTACTATTTTTGTCAGAATGGCTCAAACACAGCAGGGGAAAAAGAAAAGTTGCATTGTAAAAGTATGAAGTGTCACAAAAGAAATTCTACACTATCCTTCTGATAGTTTCAAAGTGTACATAAGTACTGAAACTTGCTGAAACAAGGAGAGGAGGAGATCTGGAAGTAGAAGAAAACAGAATGTCAGATCAGAGTTGAATGAGATCACTTTGCTCTTCAGCAGATGCTCCAGGGCAGCTGATGACTTCTATGAAGACTTCCTGTAATCCTCCTCCTCCTGCACAAAAGAAACCACACACACTGTTTTCTTCATACTTACCATCACTCAAACTCTTGTCACTTTATGGAGCCGCTGCTTTAGAAGTCAACTACTGTGAGGTTTCCTCTAAAATTACTACACTATACTAAAATGACTTTAGTTACACAACTTAAGTCTATAATACACCACTCACAACTCCTGTTGCACCATTACACACTTGTGGCTTTCTTCTTTTTTAACTCTGAACTGCCCGTTTATTTTATTGTTTTATTTCTTCTTTTATCGCGCTTTAATTTTATTTTGCCTCTCGTGTATTATCATTCACTGTGGTATTTCATCTCTTTGTCGCTGAAGCACTTTGTACTTTGTTTTGTTAAGTGCTCTATAAATAAAGGTTTTAATCATTGTATTATTATTATCATCATTTTTATTATTATTATTATCATTATTATATGATAGCCACAGACACATTAACACTTAATAACTCTTGTTCATGAATCACATGAGCAGAATGACATAATGTAATTATGTTGTAGAAGAAAGACTGCTGTACCTGTTAGGAGTCTCTTCTTTGTTAAAACAGCAAAATGCCAAAGGCACTTTTGCAGTGCATCATAATCATAAACCCGCTTTGCAACATTACATTCCCCCTGAATGCATCATGTAGTTTTCCTGTTCTCCTGCCTTTGATTACCAGAATACCTCTGACCAGGATGGATTTCTCTGCGGGAAGCCACATTAGTTTCCCACAGAGACGACAACCGACCAAGAACACGGCTAAAATAGAACCAAACGAACACTGCAGCTCACTGAGGCTTTAATTTGCAATTGAATGTGTCACAGGAAATCACATCAACAGCTAATACATTTTGTGGGAAATGTTGTTTATTGTTCAGTGACGAAGTATTTTGTTGTTTTACGTAATATCTGCTCTTGCAATACAAGCACTCACTCTGTTAAACAAAAAATCCCCAGCCAGACAACAACTCTGAACTCTGTATGTTTGCACTACATGCGCTATATTGCACATGAAAAACGTGCAGTGGAATTAGTAATGACAACTATACTGTAAATATGTGCTGACTATTTTTATATTTATCTATTCCTGCTAATTGTCTTGTTCTTTTTAGTGTAAAGAAGAGTTGACTATCATTTTCATATCTATGTATGTTTAGAAGCTACTTTAATTTCTTCTATTCTATTTTATTAACACTTTATCCTATTTTCGGCTCACTGTTTTGTTGTTTTCTTATTACACTTTTGAGTACACGTTGGGCCACTTGGTTAAGGTTAGGAAAATATTTTGGTCTGGTTTAAATACAGAAAAGTCAACAGCGGTATGAAGCACAAGACATAATGTGTTTAGGTACAGTGTGTAATATTTCTGGGGCTCTATTGACAGAAATGCAATATAATATCCATAGCACCCCCTTCTATGGAGGTCGCTGTATTTTGTTGTCATGTTTCTACCGTGGCCGACAACGGACCAACAGCGCTACAGAGCGTGTTTCGTCATCATGCCGTTCTTCTTCTACTTGTATACTTCTGGCAGTGAAGACGCCTCTCACTACATTAAATAAGTCCGTAGAAGAGGGAATAATAATAATAATAATAATAATATGCAGTCTCTGAGTAACCTTCTGGTTTAGTAGAAGTAAGAAGTGAAGTGACATTTGGACAAATGAACAACAAGCACACGGGACGGATACAAACACCTGACGGCAGAAATCACGGATGTTGTGGATTTTCCCAGATGGGAGGCTATAATGTAGGACAGATGTGGTGCTGAAGTTGTCTGTTTTCTGCTGGACAGGTAATTAACTTAACTAAGTTTGTCAGACTTTAGCGATGGAAATGAAAACTGTTGTTTGATAGCTTTAGCTTGAAGCTGACCATAATCACAGAGAGCCGTGAGGTGTTTCCCCTGTCAGTGATGTGAAATACGTAGTTGGATTAAGTTCATGTCGCCTACTTATTCTCCAGCCTATGGGTTGGCTTTGCCGGTTACGTTAGCAATCAGCGGATCAGTAACGTTAATTGGCAATAAAACTGTAATGTTAGCTTAGAGCATGGAATCATCAGCCAGCTAAAATTTTACTGCCCTGGTAGAAAAATAATGTAAGGTTAGTTGGACTGGTTTATTCTCCAACGCTGGCTTTGGCTTGTGGTGTAAAATATGTAGTTGGATTAATTTCATGTAGTTACTCTCTCTCCAGCGTTCTGTTTTGTCACCTTTGTGACACAACCAGCTGATCACTAAATGGCAATAAAACGGTAGCTTACAGCTGGAAGCTCAGGTCAGACAGCTAAACATTTACTGCGCTGATAGAAAAAATATGTTGTTGGATTAGATTTATGTAGTTAATCTCTCTCTCCAGCGCTCTGTTTTGGTTTTGTTACCTTCTGAGACAATCATCTTATCACTAATTGGCAATAAAATGGCAGCTTCCAGCATCAAAGCTCAGATCAGCCAGCTAAACCTTTACTGCGCTTTAAAAAAAAAATAAAGTAATTTAATGTAGTTATTCTCCAGCACTCTGTTACCGCTTTATTAGTGGACAGAAATGTGCCCTTACCTTTAAGACAAACCACTGATGAACATTATTGGCAATAAAACTAACAGCAGGGAAGCTCAGATCAGCAGCTAAACTTCACATTTTACTTCCCTGGTGGAAAACATGTATTTCTTTTTACTACTAATGGTGATTATACAGTATAACAAAACCGTGTGCCTATCAAGTGACCAATAATCAATATTTTTTTTATATGGCTTAGCCGCTGTGCAAACAAATGTGTAATTTCTACTTTCACATGCTAAATGCCCATTAAAAACATTGCACCGTTTTACCACAAGCTGAAATTATGGCTGTCAGTACTACTTTGTGTTTCGGTTTCTAAAAAATTAAAAAAGACATTTTGGTAAGATTTGCATGGTTATCTAATTAAGCAAAGCGAGAGGAGCCTTGATCCTCACCTGACAATGCCTTTGTAAACGTCATGTATTATGTGGTTTATATTGGACTGTGGTGCAGAAACAGTGAGGCTTACATTGTCCTGGTATCTGTCAGTGGTCAGGCTTGATGCACTAGATGTGATAGTTTTTTGAGAATTTTTTATTATTATTATTTATTTATTTTGGTATGTCCAGATGAGCCAACCCTCCCAAGTTGTAAAATACTGTTTTACAGGAGTATGAGACATCCTGAAACACTTCATTTCTTGATGTGGCTGTTGTTTATTAATGAACAAGTAACAATTATATTTTTTAAAAAACCATGATTTTACTGATTAATTAAGTAAATATAATTTCTTAATATATCCATCTAAAGAAACCTCAATTCTTGACTAACAACTCTCTGCTATCTCATTGATGACATCTTTGTGCGGTCTCAGGCACTGTAGCTATACAACTCGCTTGGATAGCGAGGGGGGTGCAGTTTGCAACCCACACCACTAGATTTCACTAAAACTTACACTGAACCTTTGACGCAACCCACACCACTAGATTTCACTAAAACTTACACTGAACCTTTGACATTACTAAACCACAAGCTTTCACTAACTTTATTCAAAGTGCTTTTGTTGCCTAAACCTAACCCTGCGATGGACCAAGAATGCAAACCCCAGTGTGAAAGTCCTACGTCTTGTATGCCCGCTGTCCATCCTGACTACCTACCTCGACTTCTGAGCTGACCAAAAATGTGGCTTGTCAACAACATCAAGGACATTTCCCAACTCAAAATAACTGGGAAACAAATCAGCTGAATGTAAATGTAATTTCTTAGAGATAGGGTTGCATTAAAGCCCACTTAACAATTAAACATTTAAGTAACTTAAAAGAAGAATTTTAATGTTAAAGAATCACTCTGCTGATTTTATACGTTTGGCCAGTTCACCCGTACTACTCTGTTACGGGTGTGGACAGAACGGACCCAAACGCAGTGCTTGTCAGTTTACAAAAGAGGTTTATTGAGGGAAAAAAAAAAAAAGGGAAGAGGGGAGTCGGGAGGTGAGATGAGGTGAGCAGGACGCCAGCAGACGAGTGCACGGAGGGCCGAGGAGCAGGCGGGGCTGGCAATGCTCGAGCGAGGCGGCTGAGAGGGGGCTGGAGGCCGAGGCGAGGGAGGTGAGGAGCGTGCAGGGAAGCCGGAGGGACGCTGTGGAGGCGAGACGAGGGGAGAAGGCAGGTAGGCGAGCCCGGCTGACTGACTGGATGGCGGAGGTGAGTGGACCAGGACTGGAGCGACGACGATCAAGCGAAGATGGAGTGGAGAACCGGGGTAGAAATACTGTTGAAGATGAGGCTGATGGCAGACAGGTGCGGCGAGCGGAGGTGAAGGTTGATGAGACACAGGTGCCGGTCATCAGCTGGGCTCCAGGGCGGAGAGGGAGAGGCGAGGAGAGGAGACACGGGGGAGAAAACAGAAATGCTAGACGAAGTAAAAAAAAAGAAACAAAAGAGCACAGGGCACTCACCGTCAGCCGGGCTGCCACCGCAACACTACTCAGGTTGAAATTCAGGTTGTCCGAAGTACACAGACCTGGCTTTGAGGTAATCCGATGAAACGGAAAAGAAAAACTATAAAAACTGTAAATACTATACTCAGACTTTGTACAGTACATAGCAAATGACCACCAATAGTCCCCATGCTCTTTGGCCTATGTGCAGCCTGGAGAGGCAACAGCTGTCATGTCTTCTGCGGCTTTGGAGGAGCTTTAGACAATCTGTGGAGGAAAAACAAAACATCAAGTTGTGTTATGGGCGTTTATGCAATTTATTTGTAGCTTGAGCTAAAGAGTTTGACAATTCCTTTCTTGTTCTGTCACTCACAAGTCCCACAACTTAAAGGAACTACAATACTAAATCTTGGCTAATGGTGGCTAAAGCCTAATTTATACTCCTGCATAGGGTCTACGTGCGTAGCCTACGGCGTAGCTACGCACGTAGCCAAGCATTTATACTTGTGCGTCCGTGTGTCCATCAATCTGCAATTATACCCCCAAACACTAGTCTCCAGTAGCGCTACAGCATCCACTGTGCTGACTTTTGCCAGCCGAGCAGGCTAACTTCCAGTTTAGCCCTCCACTAACGTGAATGGGGGTAAAATTGTAAACGTGCGGCTGGTGCAGCCTTTTCAAATGTAAAAGTAAAACGAGTCATTTCACTTGGGTTGTGATGGTCAAATATATTGATCCACCACGTTACAGACGCCGTTTTTGCCGCTAGTAAAGTTACTTCAAAGCACAGGCACTTCCTGTTGGCTCGGAGGCATTGCGAGGCTACCCAGCTGACCAATCACAGTGCTTACGGTCCGCGTCGCCTCGACGTGTAGTTACATTTTTGAGGAGGTGCATGTCAGGTGTTGTTGTTAAAAGCAATTTATACTTCTGCATCAAATCGTACCCTACGTAGGGTACGATTATAAGTATAAATGGTCACCTAGGTGACGGCGTAGGGTACGGAGCTATGCAGAGACTACGCCGTCGATTTGATGCAGAAGTATAAATTGCTTTTAACCCTTTGAGTGTGTATGGGGGGCTAAGAACATCTGGTGAACACACACACACACACACACACACACACACACACACACACCACTGCCCACCAGCTGAGTCTAGAAGGGTGTGTTGGTTAGAGATAAGATTTTCTCTGATGTCCTGATTTCTCTTATTCCTAAGCCAAATTGCCCCCCCACTCATCACCTCACCTCTTCAAGAGCACGCGTGCACAACCTCACATGATCAGCAAGGGCACAAATTGGACGTTTCAAAACAGCCCATATAAAATCTTTTTGTGCTACATAAGCAGCCATGTATCAAGGGAGAGCAACAATACCTACAGTAGCTGCTATGGGGCTTATTTAATTACATCAAATTCTTTTTGTTGAAAAACCATAAATAAAAGAACAAGCTCATCATCTTGGGTTTACTAACTCTGCTTAATTATTCACCCGGCATTAATTAGGCAATCAGCAGGCAATGTATTCAGCCCACCAGAGACCATAAAATATGAACAGCCAGTGCTTGTCTGTATGTTGTGCTCACATGTCTACAGTGGCTCTGTGTTGGACTGTATTTTTTGGGGGGTAGTAGCAGAAAAACAAGCAGCAGCTGTAAAGAAAAGACTGTACAGTACAATCTGGGAAACTGCCAATAAACAGGCTGAAAGTGCAACCTGTTATTTCACTTCTGTGTTGTATCATAATTCTGCATCCAAATGTCAGTCACCTAAACAATGAATCCGCTCATGTTCTCAGGTGTTTTATTCTGCCCTTTTAGCGTTTCCTAGACTGGAGTGTAATGTTAATGTGATGGTGTAAATGGTAAAAAGTGTGAATGCAGTCGGCTATAAAACCTGCCTCTGTCTATAAAATACATTAGTGGTTTTTCACAAGGAAGTGTTAAAGGAATTATAAAAACAGTAACGCATCACTGTCAGTCAGTAATGTTATCTCAGGTGTCTAGTGGTTTCATTTAGAAAACTTAACCAATGTTATATTTTGAAACATCAGTGCCCCTGCAGAGCCTGCTACATTTGAGAGTCATCTTAAATCAGTTTCTTCCTAATGTGTACTCAACCTTTTATTTCCTATTCTTGGTTAAAGACACTGGGCTAAAAACACCAGTGCAAAGCAAAAAACAACTTATTATTACTTATTATACTTAATTAATTATATAATACTTAACTAATTATATAAACACAAGACTGTTTTTGCCAACATTCATCATGAGCTGAACTCTATGTACACAAAAGGCCTATTTCTCTCAAATATTGCTCACAAATCTGTCTAAATCTGTGTTAGTGAGCACTTCTCCTTTGCCGAGATAATCCATCCACCTCACAGGTGAGGCATAACAAGATGTTGATCAGATGCATGGGTATTGCACAGGTGTGCCTTAGGCTGGCCACAATAAAAGGCCACTCGAAAATGTGACGATGATGTAACAGAATATAGCAGCAGAATGACTTCAGAAGTGTACAGAAACATTTTGTCTGCCAGTTTACGGAGAAATGCATTGAAACTAATGGGGAGGAAGTTTATCATGCAGCAGGACAATAACCCAAGCACACTGCCAACAAGACAAAGGTGGAAAAATAGTGGAAGGTCTTAGACTGGCCAAGTCAATCACCTGACCTTAACCCAATAGAGCATGCGTTTCACTTCCTTAAGAGGGGACTGAAGGGAGAAACACCCCGAAAACAAACAAGAACTGAAAGAAGCTGCGCTAAAAGCCTCGAATAGCAACACAAATGAAGAATGCAACAGTTTGGTGATATCAATGGGTCACAGGCTTGTGGCAGTTATTGCTAGAAAGGGTTAGGCCACCAAATATTAAATGTTATTTACTTTAAGAATATTTGTTCCATTATTTTTGCTCACCTAAGAATGCTAATACAAACGGTGGTATGTCCTAAGTTATTTAACACATCTAAATGTGAATACCAGGAAATAAAAGCTGAAATTCTGAACTCTTGTCTCATCTTTTGATCTTAAACCCAAATGTTGTCAGTGAACAACAAAAACAAAGGAATTTGCCTCACCGTTCCAATACTTTTGGAGAGGACTGTATCTGTCCATCAGAAAACTCTGTGAATAAAAGAAAACTAGAATTTATTTTCTCCATATTTCTAATATTACTCCATCACATGTTATCCAGTTTCACCAAAATCTGTGAAAATAGTTGTTTTTGTACAGTATTCATTGGGTGGCAGCGTTATACTGAGAAATCTTTGCATTGGACGCTAAATTAATACAAGTGCAGAATGAGTCATTTTAAAATGGTTTTCCAAATGACAAACTCTTAAATGTTATCAAGAATACCTACAAAACAAAATTTTTTGTCATTGATGGGCCAGATACTGCCATAGCGGTGACCTAGTGCAAAGCATATCATATAAAAACATTTAAACATATTTTGAGAACCGGAGATTTTGTTATTCTATGTTTCTCTAAGAATACACTAAGCAGACAACACATCATTGATACTGCCGTCTTCATTTACCTATTTGCCATTGAAGTAATCCATCCAAAGGTAACTAAAAGTAATCAGATTACATTAATTTTATTTAATTTTCTCTAAGTAATTGACTTAGAGGAAAATCATTCAGACTCATAATATTGATTTCCATTTTTATGCAGATGACACCCAGTTTATGTCCCATTAAGGCCTGGTTCTTCTGATGTCTCTGGTATTATCTCTTGCCTTGATGAGATAAAAGCCTGGATGTCTAATAACTCCCTTCAGTTAAACGACACAAAATCAGAAATCATTGTATTTACCCCCATCGGAACCAGCACTAGCTACCTCAAAAACCTCACAACCAACCTGGGTGTCTTCTCGGATAACATCCAGAAAGAAGCTCGCAACCTTGGTGTCATTTTTGACTCAGAGCTGTCTTTTGATGATCAGGTGACGAAAGTAGTGCAGTCCTGTTTTGTCCAGCTGAGACAGCTAACCAAGATTAGACCATTCCTCTCCTCTGCTGACTTAGAGGTCATCCATGCCTTTATTTCTTCAAGACTTACTGCAATGCTCTGTATTCTTGTATTAGGAAGGGAAATATTCATAGATTACAGCTCATTCAAAATGCTGCAGCCAGGCTTTTAACTTGCACTAAGAGGAGTGACCACATCACTCCAATCCTAGCCACCCTTCGAGGGTTACCTGTGAGTTTTGATTGTAAGATTCTACTATTATTTGTTTTTAAGGCCCTGAATGGCCAGGATCCTGCCTACATCTGTTATTTGTTAACTCCCTACAAGCCAGACTGATGCCTGAGATCCTCTGGCAAGTCTCTACTAATTGTTCCAAAGTCTCGCCTTGTCACACTAATGTGGCTTTTCCATTACCAGTACCAGCTCAACTCGCCTCACCTGGTTTTAGCCGTGCTCCGTTTTCCATTGCAGACAAGCGGAAGCTTCCGGTCTACAATATGAAGCCAATGCGGAAGTCCCTGAAAGTCCAGCAGGGGGCGATTCTTCTGGTTGCAAAAAGAAGTACGGCTCCATTAGAAATAATGGGAAAATGACCCTACTTCTAACCTGAATAATTACCCCAGTAAACACTTTCCTGATGAGTTTATGGTCTCAATCGCTAGTTTCAAGTCTTCTTCAATACAAAATGATGTTCATTTAGTAAATTATGGTCCATAAACCACAAAGCAGACCTGTTAAAATGACAGTTAATGTGAGTTACAGTTGCACCTAGCTAAGCAAGCTATCTAGCTCTGCACACAGCCGTTAGCTCCGCTGTATCGTCACTTCCGGGCACTTCCTGGTTCCAAAAACTCGACATGGCGACGGCCTACCGGCCAACTCGGGGCATCAAAACGTCAGTCCACAAACCAACAGGTGACATCACGATGACTACATCCATTTCTTATATACAGCCTATGATTGCAGATAGTACCCAGAGGTAGTACGGGTAGTACCCCTCAATGTAGCTAGTCGTCATAGCGACTCCACACACAACTGCCGTGACGTAATGTTCAATGCGACACACACAACAGTGATCCAGACAGCTTTCTCTTGACTTTGACAAATTACAACATTTCAACATTCCTCAGAATGTAAAGACAGATAAACGGTATGAAAAGCTTCCAGCTGTGTTTTCCTCTGCCGTTGTTGCTGCAGCGGTCTGTGTGACGGCGGGAGCAGAGGGCTCTGTGAGCGGGCGGCTGGCCGGCCTCACGCGCTCCTCCCGCGGGTTGCGGCGGGGGAAGCTTGCCACAACCCGCCCGTAATCCGCGAGGCTGCTCCTCAACTCCGAAAACTTTCAACCACATTTTTGTTCCGCCATCACTTTTTGTAAAATTGTCAATAGTCGAAATCTACACAGTTGATTTCTCACCTCAAAACTCTCAGAAATGGATTTAGTGATGAAATTATATACTGTAAAAATAAACTTTCTGCTGCTGTCCTCTGTCTGGCGTTCACAATGATGACGCAGTGAATATTCTCTCTGACCAATCAGTAGTCTGCCGTGTTTTCACGTCACATTTTAGTATCCCTCAGCTCACTTGGAACCTCGACGGAGGTGATACGAAAAAAAGTACCTGGAAGCACGTTCAGGTACAACTTTTGAAAACCAAACAGAGGCGAGTAGAGTCGAGTCGAGCTGGTACCGTACATGGAAAAGGGGCTTTAAGGTGACTGTGCCTTTGCTGTTCGGGCCCCTCAGTTGTGGAACTCCCTGCCCGGAGATCTCAGGCAGGCAAACTCAGTGGCCTCTTTTAAATTGCTTGTCAAGTCTCACTTTTATCGTTTGGCGTTTTTATAAACATTATATTATTGCTGTTATTGTATTATCTAATTCTGATTTTGTTGATTTTTAAGTTATTTTAATTCATTTATATTTTTACGTATGGATCATGTTTGTTCATGTTCATCATGTAACTTGGTTTTGAAAAGTGCTATACAAATAAAGTTATTATTATTATTAATTGGTTAATCGACCAATCGTTTCTGCCCTTGTCTTTATGATACAATCTATAAAGCCTACTATTCACCAAAAACATTAGACTAAATAATGCCCAGAAAGTTGTTAACATTTATGGATATTTTTCATTCATACTCCTCCTCTCTTCCGGGTGGGAACTCCACTTCGTTTCTATCCATTGGAAAAAGTCTCAAGGAAACTGCGGTTTCAGAAAAGCCTTGATGGCGCCGCCGCTCCGCCATATTGGCTCAAAGCCTATAGGCCTCAATGGAGATTCCTAGGCGACGGAGCGGCGCCAAAATGGAGGAAAGCGGAGCAGTTTCATAACCCCCGTGTAGGTGGAGCTTGGTTTTCTGGAAGCTCCGTGGAGCTGAACGTCCAGGCACACGGGAGACGGCGGTCGGGAAAAAAAAACATAAACCAGCGGCTGGAAAGTGCCGAGCCGCGGAGACGGACAAAGCGTCTGCACGGTGCGTTTAAAGCAAGAGCTGAACCCGCCCGTCAGGTCCACGACCGGATGACTGTGTGCATCCCTGGAAAAAAAAACTGAAGTGTAATCCGCGAGGCTGCTTGGGAAGTGCAGATCACTGTAACCCACCTGGATCAGGGCTGTAACCCGAGCCTGATGTCCCCTGTCCACCGGGTCTGTCCGGGCATTTCCTCCTCTGCGAGCGCAACATTGAAACCTTCAGACCAGTCGGAGCAGTTAACGGGAGCAGACACAGCGGCGGAGGAGTTTACACTAATGTTTGTTTGACAACCACGTATGGTGTGCTTTTTGAGACGGGAGTGCAATACCGGGAAGCTGTGGGAAAGGCGGGGCCGAACCGGTGGACTCCCAAACTGGATTATTGAGCTCCCCCAGTGCCGATTCACTCACAGCGACGCAGCGTTATTTGGGGGGGGCGGGGGGTCGACGAAGGAGGCAACAACTGGAATTTAGAAACCTTTCTTTGGAACTCTTTACCGACCGCCCTGCCGCTGACTGCACGAGCGGTTCTTAGTCAGTTATTTCGGTCAGACGGCCAGCTGCCTGTGGCCTTCCTCCCCCCCTCCATTCAGGAGCATTAATCAGGTTCGGGACGCATATTTTGGGGATAATTTTTCCCCAGCCGGGGTCGGACTATGGCGGACGACGACATTCTCTTTGAAGATGTGTACGAGCTCTGCGAGGTCATCGGCAAGTAAGTGGAAATAAGCAGCGCTTGTATTATTCCTGTGTTTTCACGGTTGACGCTGGTCACCGGGGCTTTCCAATTAGCTCCTCATAATGTCCTGAGGGTATGGCACGCGCGCAGTTGCACGCACACACTGAAACGCACACGCACGACCAAAAAGCGTGGTGATATGGTTGTGTCGAAACGAATGGTGTGCCCGTGGTCATCATAATTTAATTTACAGTGACCTTTTAATCGTATTTTAAATCCCTTGGCTGCTCTATATTATTGTAAGCTATTTTGTTGAGTTAGAGGTTTTTATTGGCTGTCGAGGAATTGTATACATATTTTCGTACATTATTTAAACACAGGGGTATTATTGCCTTTTTGTTTGAATATATAACGCCACTGACGTGACAACAGTTGTTGCATTCCCAGTTTTATTGCTTTATTCCAACATGAAAATACTATCCTAGTTTACTGAGGCAGCATTTTCTCCTCCTCCTGCATGGCTGGTGTGTTACAGTTGCACAGACGCACAGTGCTTGGCTTGGTGCCGTGTGCTTTGACCTGGTGGCAGTTGGTAACTTGCCGCAGAGATTAAAGGGCAGGGCACCAGACCCATCATGAGTCATGCACGCCGCACATCTGGTCGTCGTTAGTGACTGAAGGTCTCATCCAGCCCACTTGGAAAAACATTCACTGAGAGGCGGCTGTGCACGTTTTTAGGTGTGTTTTTGCATTGAGAAGTCCCAACATTTCATCTAGGTTTGTGTTAAGTCATCACCACCATGTTGTGGAAGAAGAACCTAAATTATCCCCAAACTAAAGTTAGGAGGTATAATGCAAATATAATATAGCTGCAATGTAAACAAATGCCATTATGAGCAATAGGACAGCTGTAAGTTTTTGTTGCAGTACATAACAGGTGAATTATACTGTGGTTTACCTTCCGTTTGCAGTCCTGCTTTAAAAGTAAAGGGAGGTAACCAAGCTTGGTATATCATTAACATCTATCCATATAATTACAGTCTATTTCAAACAAGTAGAATGGTGTGACAGTGTTGGAGTGTGAACGTAGATATATGTCTGTGAATGTTCCCATGCTGCTTGTGTGATGACTAATAAGCCAAACTGGTTACAAATGGTGTCAAGATCCGTCCATACAGCTTTAGTGTTTTATTTCTCAAGAGCATTTGAGTCTTTATACTCTCTTACATTCTGCTTTTTTCTGCTAAATGGCTGCAGCACCTGCACCACACCTGGGACTTTCCAACTTTACAAGGGAGCAGGGGAACGTTAGAAGAGATGCAGTAAATGCTGAAGGGAGACAGTCACTTTGTTTTTATGTTCACTGGAGACAGCTGGAAGAGTGGAGAAGATCAGTTTGAGGGAAAGCTGTTTCTGCTTCGACCGATGCATGAATAACCGACTGTGTCATCCAAACTGCTGGTCTTGAATGAAGCACTTCATTGGGCGAACAAACAGAAGCTCCATGTGGATTACCAGCTTGGCAGGCCTGACAGACGTAGTCAGTCATAGCAGGCTGACTGGTTACGGGACTTCGGCGGTGTCACAGAGATGGTTGACTGTTTGACAGGGTGATGAGACCTGCGCCGCGCAGTACATGTTTAGGCAAGCCTGAAAATGGTGTGTACTGTTTTTCTCCTACACCGTCACAAGCAATTTCTCTCTCTCTCACTCAAACACATGCACGCGTGGAGCCAAAGATATCCTCCTGCTGTATCGGCCCTCTGCATTCATTTAGAATGTAAAAATATACTATACTTAATCACCATTTTAAATGTGTGTTCAGCTGAGGTTCTCGTGGGGCGGGAGGAACCCTTGAAAGCCAAATGCTTTGACTCAGTCCCACACGAACACACTTAGTTTTCTGAATCACGGTCTTACTCATTGTGCTCCACAGATTGTCTGTGATTTACAGTTTGCAGAATGAGAGAGCGGCCTTTTATCAGCCGACCTGCTGTTCTCTGTATGGAGACCTGCTGCAGCCACAGCTTCTTATTAAGACTGCTCTGAAGCACCAATTGTGTGTTGTGTGTGTTTTTTTTTTTTTTTTTTTATCCTGAAATAGAGACTGGATTAACTGGAGGGAAACCCACCCAAATGACATTACTTTAAAAGCCCAATGCCCTGAATCTTGAATTGGCATGAGCGTGCATGTGTTCTGCAGGGTTAGACCCACACAGGCCTAAATATCATTCTGAACTGTGCTTGGAAAGCAGTGTTTTGATCACTGCTCTGTGTGTGTCCCCTTCTTAGATTAAGTTAGATTTATGGAGGTGCACAGCCTTCTAGATCCACCCTATAATTGTGTCCATATTTATGCATGATTTGACTATGCAGGAACAAGATTTAGCCCCGTGCTCATATTTTTAGAGCAGTGACCTCGGCCAGAAAGCCTGTCGGTCACCCACGTGCGCGTGAGTGTGTTGTGATCTGTGTTGCTGTCAGATTGATCCCGCCTGTTGTGCTACCGTGTCCTGAGGCTCAGAAACAAGAGGATGGGGTGAGGGTGGGAGAAAGTAAACAGAGATGTTAGAACCAAGACGACAAGAACGAGGGAGAGTAATTCTGGGATGGAGGGTGAGCGAGAGGTTGCATTGGATATGGGATGAGCGAGGGAGCAAGAGAGGTCAGGGGCACAGTGGAAGGAAGCAGTCCATTAGTTTGACTCACATATTAAGAGACATCCAGTGCCTTCGGGCCTACTCTTTTCTAGTTCATCCTCGGAAAAAAAAAGTTGTGCGTGTGTGCCTGTGTTTTTCACAGTAGGGGGACGTAACATGGCACTATGCATAGAGAAATGGGCAGCAAGAAAGATGTTGTTGGCCTTTTTGTTTTCCGCAATCCTTGCAGCTCTGAACTGCGCTGCAGTTAATGCTTGGTGACAACAGCAAATGCTAATTTCAGTGCATCAGAGCAAAACTGCACAATATCCCAGGATTGGGTTCAAGTTATGATGTCACGGTTGCAACATCAGAAGTGTTAGCAACACTGATGCTACAGTCACAAGCCTTTGAGAGGTCATGCAGCGAAGCGTAGCGTCTGTTGTCTCTTCTGTTAATGGACCCAAAAGCAGGAGTTAATAGTACCCGGCTGAATGGATCAATGGCCTCCCTGTACTGAATATTTGGCCTCACTGTGAATTTAACAATGGATATTGTCCTATAACTTATATCGCTGTAGAACAGATCTGCTCCACTGTGAATAAAATGAATTGCCCACATTTGCATACAGCGTGGCCTTGGAGGACACTTGGGGGTGCTGTGCAAAACTTGAATGTCATTATAACTCTGGGCCCAAGGAGGCGTGTGTGTTAATGTGTGTATGTGGTGCATGTGTCAGTTCTTGCAATTGTGTGGTCTAGTGTTTCCCATCCCAAGAGGTGACAGGGAATATAAGCCAGATGCTTAGTCCCATTCACGTCCATGGCGTGAACTGACATCACCCAGTTATCCACAGGGAATGTAATACCTTCCAGTTCACTGTTCCACTGCTGCCCATTTCAGTTTTCTGTGAAGAAATTACGGTAAAATGAGGAAGGTTTGTAAGTGTGCATGTCTCCTCAGGAGTAGTGTGTGTGTGTGTGTGTGTGTGTGTTTTGCCAAGGTGCAACTCGCCACTTTAGGTAATTATGTAATTTAAAGGCTCTGCCAAGATTTTGTGTATTTATGTGTAGACGTTTGCACACATTCGTCCTTCATGAAACGTGTGAAACACTGACCTACATCAGGACAGCTCCACTACAGGAGCCACGTCTCGGACAGTTGGCCGGGGGCTTACTTTATTAATGGTGATAAACGAGGGAAGCTAATACTGAGCATGTGTGCATTGATGAACTGGCCAGAGGTATTCTACTAATAACCCACCAAGGCCATGAGCTGTGGGTCAGTAGGTTAAACACTGCTTTGTTTACATTGTCAGACCGCAGTGTGTTTTAAAAGGCAGCCTGCCCAGCACTGAATATAATGGCAGTTGTTTTCACTGCAGAGACTCTTCTCCTACACAAAAATATTACACTGGGGCTCAATTTGAATACCAGCATTTGCCAAGTGGTGCTATTTTCTGTTCTGTGTTGTCCCTCTTCTGTGGTTCAGATGTCTGCCTGACAGGTATGTGCATTCCTTTAGACCCATGTTCCTTCTCTAACAAGTTCTCTTTAGCTCCATCCTAATAAATCAATTTTAATTGGTAGTCTACAGTAGGTGCTGAACAATATCCAATTAAGGAATGCAATAACGCGTCAACAGTGTCGTAGTGGTTGTGATTGAATGGGGTCTGAGGCCTCAAGGGAATACGTTTGTGGTGTTGTCTCCAGAGCCTTCCCCTGCACGGTGTGTGTGTGTGTGCGCGTGTGTGCAAGAAGCTTGTGTTGTGTGATTTTAACCTCTCTGTTGGGGTTTGGAGGAGAAAATCTGCTGAAAGGCTGGTTCCGGCACGCACAATTACCCATAGATGATATAGCAGAGAGAGCTCATGCTCAACCACTAAAATATTTATCCATCCTCATCAAACTGGAGAAAACACCCCCAGCAGACCCTAGCAGCTCTCTGTGTGCAGCGCTAAGTAATTGAGCTGCATTTGGCGTCTTGTTGAGTTGCTACATGCTGAAGTACCCTCTCAGTTTGTCTCCGTTTATGGTGGTGTGGCTTTTGTAGCTGTTGGATTTTTCAAGGAAATTCAAAATGTCATCTAGTGTGACATGTCTCTCTTCCCTCTTGAGACCTGAAAGTCCATAATACACTTTGTTTTATCTTTGTTTTTGGTCTCCACCATCTCCTGAGGGAAATACCTGGATCTTAAACTGCCAAATGCTCCAGTAAGTTCACCAGCAAGTTGTGAAATCACTGCGAAGCATTACTTCTCGCGCGAGCAGTAGCCTGGCTATTCACATCAGAATGCAGAGTGCATTGCTTCTCGCAGGTCAGCAGGACATTCTGCTCCTCTGCTCTTTTCCAATCACACGTACAGCTGATCTTTAAATAATCTCATGAACATGAATA